AGTTTAAATCACCCCCGCCCCCTGATTCTAGTGCATGGTGATCAATAAACATTACTGCAGTTATTGAATGAGTGAATGAACAGAGTTGTTAGCTTAATATATTTTTGCCCATATGGTTTCTGTCTGCTGTAGTATATTGACTTTTCATGACTTTTCCCCTTATTTATTTTTTTACCTTACACCTTGATAATTCTCTTAAAGTCTTTTTTAAACCAACCTCTTATTTTTTTAAATCATCTTCTAAATAACAATTAGAGCATTTCTTTGGAAATAGAGCTTTCTGGAATTTTCTTCCTTGAGGCACATCGTTCTGATTTCAAGAGGGGGGTGCAATTGGACATACTGTTTGAATGAACTTTCTACTTGTTTCTGTTCTGGCTCAAGGAATGTTTAATTGTAGATTGAGATTGCTGTTATCATTTGTTGAGTTGTTCTTACCTGCAGAAAGTTGCAGGATGGTGTGTGTGTGTGTGTGTGTGTGTGTGAGAGAGAGAGAGAGAGAGAGAGAGAGAGAGAGAGAGAGAGAGAGAGAGAGAGAGAGAGAGAGATAGAGAATACACACACGTGCAAGTGGGTCTTCTTCCAGTTAAGTGAAAAATAGGAGTCGCTAATTTTGTTTAGGACAACAATTTCAATCCATAATTATGACTTTAAAATAATTTACTTTTGTGGGAACAGAAATTAGGTATTATTTATATTTGAAGTATTTCATCGTCTGCAAAAGGTTTCTGGCGATAGTTTATTAGTTTAAAGTGCACTTGAGTTGTTGCACCTATGAATGGGGAAGTTGAAAGACAAAGGTTTAAAGCAAGAGTTATAGAGCCCTTCATATTCAAAAGTTAATGAAAAATTTGCTGAAACCGGTTTGGCTCAATGGATAGAGCGTCGGCTTGGGAACTGAAAGGTCCCGGGTTCGATTCTGGTCAAGGCCAAGTACCTTGGTTGCGGGCATATCCCTAGTAGGGGGTGGGCAAGAGGCAGCTGATCGATGACTCTCCCTCATCGATGTTTCTAACTCTCTATCTCTCTCCCTTCCTCTCTGTACAAAATCAATAAAATATATTTTTTTTAAAAAGTTAATGAAAAATTAGGGAAAGCTCTCTGCTGTTCATTGGCGGTATATTTTTTCTTATTTTTCTCATTAAATATTTATTAAGTGATGTGCTTTACTAGTCAATGATGAAACTTCACCTGGATTTTTCTGTATAACTTAAAAGCCCAAAATAAATTATTTTGTCTCTTTGATAATCCATCACTTGTATCTTGAAGCTATCTATATAGATTTATCTAAGAGTTGGAAGAATAGTACTTAAGTGTTTGATTTCAAAAATAAAGAGGGAACAGTCACCTCAGGTTATGCTGCTATAGCTATGAGAAAGCGGAAGGACTCATCTGGCATTTTTCTAGGCAAAACTTGTGAAAATAAATCTGAGAGGGAATGGTACTATGGCTGTTTTAAATGATGCATTTCCTGGCAACTTTTAGGCTTATTGAACTCATATTTTAAAAATGAAACATACTTGAAAATAACTGAGAACCACAAAAAGATTTCCAGATGCCATTATGCTTTCATCATGAGTAACAGTAATATTTAAATGCACATTTAGAGTATTATTGATTTTTTTTAAAGTATCTTGGTTTTTTTTTAACTAAGTACTCTCATCATGATATCATTGCTTTCTTAGATACTTTTTTCACATGTTGGATAGAAATTCTTTTCTTTTTTTTTTCTTTTAAAAAAAAAATATTTTATTGATTTTCCACAGAGGAAGGGAGAGGGACAGGGAGCTAGAAACGTCGATGAGAGAGAAACATGGACCAGCTGCCTGAGAAACATGGACCAGCTGCCTCCTGCACACCCCCCAGTGGGGATGTGCCCACAACCAATGTACATGCTCTTGACCAGAATCGAACCCGGGACCCCTCAGTCCGCAGACCAATGCTCTATCCACCGAGCCAAACCGGTCCTGGCTAGAAATTATTTTCTTATAGGACATTTCTCTAAAGTAATAATGTAATTCAACAAAAATGTGTTATTTTTTAGTCTAACCCAAAACTCTGAAAATGTCCATAATTTGAGCAATAGTCTATCAGGGAAGAAAGATAAGGCCAAACAACTGAAAGTTTCTAAATCCTTAGGAAAGACCTTTTAGAACCCATATGATATTCTTTATATTTTTTATAAATAAAAATATACAATAAATATTTATAGTGTGTATATATATACATATATAGTGTATATATATGCATACAAACACATATTTACATACATTATAAATAAGGTGGTTATTTATCAAAATGCTAACAGTGGTTATAATGTTATCAGTAACAAGACAATTATTTTTTTGTCCTTTTTCTTTTTTCATATTTTCAAAACATTCTTTGTATTTGCATTTTTAGAGTAAACAGTCAGTAACAACCTTTAAAAGAACCAAAAGATAACCTCATTAAGTATAGTTGTGTGGCCCTAGCCGGTTTGGCTCAGTGGATAGAGCATCGGCTTGCGGACTGAAGGGTCCCAAGTTCCATTTCTGCCAAGGGCACATGCCTGGATTGTGGGCTCGATCCCCAATAGGGGGCGTGCAGGAGGCAGCCGATCAATGATTCTCATCATTGATGTTTCTATTTCTCTGTCCCTCTCCCTTCCTCTATGAAATCAATAAAGGCATATATATACATATATATATGTATATATATAGTTGTATGCCAGAAAGTGTGCTGCTATAGTAAGTAGGTAGTTAATACCTATCTCTAAAATAAGTTTATCAGATGTCTTGCCCTGCCTGCTCACCTTGATCTCCATACTCAGATATAACATTTAGCTAGAAATATTCAGGAGCTTTTATACAGTGGTGTGTGCACATTGAACTCACCTAAGGAGCTTAAATTCCAAGGCCTGGGTGCCACCCACTAGAGACTGATTTGATTCAACTCGGATGTAGATTGGCCATTGGGACTCTGAAGTTCCCCATGTTATTAAATATATAGCCAAAGTTGAGAGCATCTGTTATACAGAAAACTAAAAGAGAGAGAACCACCACCCCAGCCAGTGAGGCTCAGCATCGTCCCAGGAACCAAGAGGTCGCTGGTTCAATTCCCAGTCAGGGTACAGGCATGGGTTGTAGGCTCAATTCCCAGTAAAGGGCATGCAGGAGGCAGCAGATAGGTGATGATCCTCTCTCATCCATGTTCCTATCTCTCTCTCCCTCTCCCTTCCTCTCTCTCTAAAAATCAGTAAAAACATATTCTAAGAAATTAACCAACTAATTTGTTTTTCACTCCTTTAATTTGTATTCTGTTGAAACTGTTACTGCCTCTACAAAGCTTGTGTTGAAAAAGTATGTATTATTTTCAGCTTTTCTTAATGCTACGTTTTAATGTCCAGCCTGCCACTGAGTTGAATGAGTAACATGATTCTTGTATTCTCTAAGTTTTCCTCCCTCTATCTTCTACAATGTCACAATAACTAATTTTCCAAAGCATAAAATAATTATATCACTGCGTTCTTTACAGCTTAAAGTAAAAGTTTCTTAGTCTGGACCCAACCTATTTTCAGTTTTATTTCCTGGTAGTTCAACACTAGAGATCCTGAACTTCATCCGTACTTGAATAAGCATTTTGTTTTATACCTGCCTTTGCATATGCTGTTCCCTTTATCACTTTTTTTTTTTAATTATAGTTCAAGAGTAGATTTAGAATCATTTATTGGAATGGAAGGAAGCTAGCATTTATTGAGTACACTAGTCAAGGACTGAGGTAGGTACTTCAAATAAAGTACTTAAATCCTCACAGCCATCCTTTAGAAATAGTCATTTTCTGCCCTGCCAATGTGGCTTAGTGGTTTAGTGTCGACCTATGAACCAGGATGTCCTGGTTTGATTTCTAGTCAGGGCACATGCCCGGGTTGCAAACTCGATTCCCAGTGTCGGGCATGTAGGAGGCAGCGACTAATAATTCTCTCTCACAATTGGTGTTTCTATCTTACTTTCCCTCTCCCTTCCTCTCTGAAATCAATAAAAATATATTTTTAAAAGAAATAGTCGTTTTCTTTTACTGTACAGTTAGGAACCCAAGGCTTTTAGAGGGTAAATAACTCAAAATTGCACAACTAGTATTGGTAGATAAGAGATTTTGAGCGCCACATCTTGATTGTTTCCATGTCCTTCTTCCTCCACTCACCTCACGTTGCTTCAGTAGTTAATGCCCATATGACCATTACCACAGCCTGTTTCTAAACATAGTGTTTGATGTTTTCAGTTTTGTTTTAAATTCTTTATAGTAGAAAGAAATGTAATGGTCTTTAAGATAGAGTAACCAGTTTCCATTCTGTGTAATAATCAGTTTAATAGTTTATTGTGACTATCTCATTAATCACTTGAGTTGTATAGTCCTATATGTTTACATTTGTAGCCTTTTCTCTAATGTCCTTACAAGTACTGAGCAGTTTCAGTTTGACATCTATTCTGGAGTTCTTAGATGAGCAAAAATAAAAATCTACATTTTTCACTATCCCACAAATTGGTTGAGTCAGATTTATACATAGTTTATACAGAGATTTAAATACATTCACCCATAAAATTCAATTAAACGTATTCCCTGCCCAGGTAAAGAGGAACATTGAAAAGCTACTGCATGCAGGTAACTTTAATAGTGCAAAGTACAGCCTCTGAACCCTTAACAGTCTCTGTACAGGAAAATGTTACAGTTTAACAAAAAGTTAATTTGGACAATGTTAAAAATTTGAGGCTTTTTTGGCTAGTAAGAGAAATTCAGTTAAATGTAATATAAGTTGTCACTTCACATCCTCTTTCCTGCATTTTATTAAGTGTTCCTAATTGTGATGGTTTCTTTAGGATACTGCTAAAATTATTGTTTCCCAATCTCATTTGATCATTTTTTTCCTTTATTAGAATGTGAAACATGTTGCAGAAGCATTCAAGAAGTGGCTGAAGGGGGAAGGAAAAAAGTGCCACTGCCTGTCAGAAAACAACAAAACAAACATGGGAAATACAACTACCAAATTCCGTAAAGCACTCATCAATGGTGATGAAAACCTGGCCTGCCAAATATATGAAAACAACCCTCAGCTAAAAGAATCCCTTGATCCTAATACATCTTATGGGGAACCCTATCAGCACAATACTCCATTACACTATGCTGCTAGACATGGAATGAATAGAATATTAGGGTAAGTGTTAGTGTAAAACAGTTGATAATAAATCAGTCAAAGGGGAAAACCATATTAGTGAAAGGCCCGGTGCGGGGGGGGGGGGCAGGACTCTGACCTTTGAAAATATATACATACAGATGTGGATGTTATATGGTATTGAGTGAATTGAAATTTCTAAAACTGAAATATGCTTAAATTATTAGGTATAACTTTTTAAAATTAAGTCTAAATTAGACCAAAGGTTTTTAATAGTGAAGTTGGTTCACATATTCTTGTTGCTACAATGATTTTGATTCTAGAAAAGTACTTGTTGGCTATCAACAAATTACAGGGACTAGGGCTTACAGCAAAGTTCTTAAGCTCTGATTCATTAGTTGAAGTTAAAAAACAAGTACCTTTGGTACTTATCTAGCATGATCAGATTTGAGTTTCTTTTAATGGAGTTTAGTTACTTGAAAAGTCTTTTCTAAAAGTGAAACATTTCCTTAAAACTTAAATTACTGCCGAAACCAGTTTGGCTCAGTGGATAGAGCATCGGCCTGTGGACTAAAGGGTCCCAGGTTCGATCCCAGTCAAGGGCAGGTACCTTGGTTGTGGGCACATCCCCATGGGGGGGGGGGGTACAGCAGGCAGCTAATCAATGTCTCTCTCTCATCAATGTTTCTAACTCTCTATCCCTCTCTCTTCCTCTAAAACACACAAAACTTAAATTACTAACAAACTTAATGCTTTTTAAGCATTAGTAACAGGGAGTATATTTATTCGAAGATTCTTACCTAATTACAAAGGAATTAAATTTTATATTTGCTAGCTTATAACATGAAAGAAGCAAAGAGTAGAAAAGTAGCTCCAAAATGAATTTATTTTTCTTAGAAGTAGATTATGCAGCTTTGGGAATCTGATGCTAGAACAGAAATAAAGAAACACTTCTTTGCTTACACAGTGAAATATAATTCTTAAACATGTATTCAGCGTTTTTTAGAACTTAACAAAAAACTTTCAAGCTTTTTAAATTTCATTTTATACAAATAAACTAATATGATTTTAAGAAAATAATTTGTTCAAAATTTTTTTTAATATATTTTATTAATTTTCCACAGAGAGGAAGGGAGAGGGATAGATAGCTAGAAACGTTGATGAGAGAGAAACATCGACCAGCTGCCTCTTGCATACCCGCTACTGGGGATGTGCCCGCAACCAATGTACATGCCCTTGACCGGAATTGAACCCAGGACCTTTCAGTCCGCAGACCGACGCTCTATCCACTGAGCCAAACAGGTTTTAGCTAATTTGTTCAAATTAAGCTGCTTTTTTAATATCCCTGAACATGCCATGTGTGTTCTTTTTACCATGTCCATGCTGCTCTCTGTGCCCCAGTATCCCCTTTCCCACTCCACTCAGCTTTCTCTTTCTTTACCCTTCCTTCCAGGTCCTAGGCAGGCTTTATCTATCTTCTTAGCCTATCACAACCCACATGAACCTTAGTCTTTCTTTCTTTTTTAACATATATGGCTCTTTTTTTGTTTGTATTACTTGTTTGGCATACACTATTTCATTGTATTTTATAATTTTGTATATCTTCTCTCTGCCTAACTAAATTGCAACTTTGTAATAAAAGTGTCTTTTTTTGTACTTCTAACATCTAGCATAATATCATACACAAAGTAAAAAGAAATTTTATAAAATCATTGCACAAGGGCCCTGCCTGCATAGCTTAGTGGTTGAGCGTCAACCTATGAACCAGGAGGTCACAGTTAGATTTCCAGTCTGGGCACATGCCCAGGTTAGGGGCCAATTCCAGTGTGGGACATGCAGGAGGCAGCAGATCAATGATTCTCTCTTATCGTTGTTTCTATCTCTTTCCCACTTTCTTTCTCTCTGAAATAAATAAAAAAAAACAACGATTTTAAGAAAATATTTTAAATTAAAAGTGACAACATTGAGAAAATCTGCATAACTCAGTGAATCAGTACTTTTCAGAAGATCACACTGAATATGATTTTTAAAAATTATGCACGGGTAAAAGATTATAATGCAAGATAGATCAATGAATTTTAATATATCAGTATAGAAGGTTCATTGATATTAATTTCAGAGTCTGAACAGTAATCTTTAAGTTTGATTAGCAATAAATGACAACTTGTTAAACTTTTGGTATAGTATCAAATGTGCATATTCATAATTACCTTTTAAATTTTTTATCTTCTATGTATTCTTATTTCAAAGTAGGAAATAACTAGTGTTTGTTCTTTCTTTCTTTACTACTTTAGGACTTTTCTTTTTGGTAGAGATGGAAATCCAAATAAACGGAATGTGCACAATGAAACATCTATGCATTTGTTGTGTATGGGACCTCAAATTATGATATCTGAAGGAGCCCTTCATCCTCGTTTAGCACGCCCCATGGAAGATGATTTCAGAAGAGCAGATTGTCTGCAGATGATCTTAAGATGGAAAGGAGCAAAACTTGACCAAGGCGAATATGAGAGAGCAGCTATTGATGCTGTCGATAACAAAAAAAACACACCCCTGCACTATGCTGCTGCCTCAGGGATGAAAACCTGTGTAGAGGTAAAACTTCGTTGTTTTAAATATTCTGCACAGTAAAATTTTTGTCTTGAAAATATGCAATATTCAGTGTTTCTTTTGCTTTTTTTTTTTTTTTAAATATATTTTATTGATTTTTTACAGAGAGGAAGGGAGAGAGATAGAGAGCTAGAAACGTTGATGAGAGAGAAACATCGACCAGCTGCCTCTTGCACACCCCCTACCAGGGATGTGCCCGCAACCAAGGTACATGCCCTTGACCGGAATCGAACCCGGGACCTTTCAGTCCGTAGACCGACGCTCCACCATTGAGCCAAACCGGCTTCGGCTTCTTTTGCTTTTTAAAAATTTATTTATTTTGATCTTCATCCAACGATATTTTTTCCTTTGATTTTTTTTAGAGAGACTAGAAGGGAGGGAGGGAGACACAGGGCTGGACAGAGGGCTGGAATCAAACCTGTAACCCAGGTATGCACTTTTGACCACAACCCTTAGGTTTAAAGTCTGATGCTCTAACAATTGATTTTCCTAGTTGTTTTTATCCCTTTTGTGGTTCTTAAAAAAAAGCAGGATTTCTTTTACATAGTCATTCCCCAGTTTTAGGGGAAATATTAAAAACAAACCCACAGTTACAGCAAACCTTGGGAATAAAATGGTATCAAGAGCAATTGAAAATTTGCTAACATCCTTGAAGATAATAGTAATCAATTAAACACTATCATATTGAGAGTAATAGCTTTAGTAAAAAGTAGCTTTTCTACTTTTTTGCTGATTTTTAGTAGACTTTGTATAATAAAATTTATGCATATTGGATATGGCAACTCTTGGCAATAGAAACTATAGTTATAGATCTAGAATTGATCAGTTCCCTAAACAAGGGATGAATATTAATGAATACATTTATTGGGTTCTTTTAAAAATCATTGATAATTTTAAAATGTGTTTCTTTTTCTGTTTAATGGGTATTAAAGTATTCTTGAATATTGTATTTGAGCTTCTTCTATATATTTCTTATTTATATCTATATATATCTATCTAAAGGCCCAGTGGGGGAGGGTCGTCCCTCCGTCCGGCTTGTACCTTCTCACAGTCTGACACCCTTAGTGCTGCCGCAGAGGCAGAGGCAGGAGAGGCTACTGCCGCTGCCTTTGTGCTCACCAGTCATGAATGAGTCGGGCTTCTGGCTGAGTGGCGCTCCCCCTGTGCGAGCGCACTGACCACCAGGGGCAGCTCCTGCATTGAGCATCTGCCTCCTGGTTGTCAGTGTGAGTCTTAGCAACCGGACCTTCAGCCGTTCAGTCAATTTTCATATTAGCCTTTTGCTATATAGGATATCTAACAACAGGCTTAGATAAGGTCAGCCATATAATGTAGAATCTTAATTAAGATAAGAAATCATTGCTCTCTTTATAGGATCATCACTACTTATAACAGGTTTTTCTCAGTTACATTGATGTCAGTTTATACATAACTCATAAGAATTCTTTCGTATAGATATATTTATGATAGGGATCACTCTCCATAAAAGCACAGAGTATCTACCTTTCAAAAAAGGTAGACCTTTATTGGAAAAAAACAGCAACAGTCATAATCAGGTTAAATTATATATCTGAAAATTTACTATTTCCTTAATATTATTCATATATATATATATACTTTATACTTCTGAATTGATACCAAAAATATGGATACCCTTCATTTTCTTACTCAGGTTAAAATATTACAGTTATTTAAATTATTTCTTTAGTGTATCTTTTTTTGTTGTTATTCACAGTTATTTACTGTATCTTAAGTGTCAATTCTTTTCATTTCTAAAACCCTTATCTTTCGTTTACTATTATTATTTGTGATATTTATTAATCTTTTAGAGTGTTTTATTTCTTGGGTTTGTGTCACCTTTGCCCACTAGTTAGTCAGTGACAGTTATTAACTTGAAACTTTTTTTTTTTCAGGCAATGCTTTCTAACATTGACTCATAGCATGGTAGAAGGATGTTCAGGATTTTGGGAGGAAAGGAGGCTATTGGCAGAATTCCTGAGGCTTTTACACAAGCCTTTTTGTATACTGTTCTATGCCCACCTCCCATGAAAGAATCCGTGCTGTAGTGACTGACCATTACTGATGGGACTGCGTCATATTTCTCAAGCGAGTGAGAGTAGACAATAGCTCATTCTTTTTTTTTTTTTTTTATAGCTCATTCTTGATAGTAGTAATAATTCTCTTAAATTGCTGCCTTAATATCTTACTGCCAAAAATTCTATAAACATTGCTTTAGTAAACATTGATTTTAAATATTTTTATTAATTTTTTACAGAGAGGAAGGGAGAGAGAGAGTTAGAAACATCGATGAGTCATCGATCAGCTGCCTCTTGCACACCCCCTACTGGGGATGTGCCCGCAACCAAGGTACATGCGCTTGACCAGAATCGAACCCGGGACCCTTGAGTCCGCAGACCAACGCTCTATCCACTGAGCCAAACCAGTTTCGGCTGTAATCATTGATTTTAAACTATGTTTGCAATAACGTTCTTATCAAATTGTTCAAAAATATATATAGTGTTTTTACCAGCATTATTTTTTGCTCAGTGAATGAAATTGGTGCCACGTTTTATTCTAAACTCTCTGACAGGCCTGATGATTTGCTTCATGTGAATGTCTGAATATGTTTTAACTGTTTATCAACATATTACATTACATAAACCATACCATTTGATTACTTTTTTTTATTTCTATATATTCAGAGGAACTCTTAGACTTAATGTAAAACCTCCCAAATAAAGCCCTATAAACAACGACATTCAGGCTGTTCTCAATGTTAATTGTTCATTGTAATTTTGATGTGGTTGTGAGAGGACATGTGTATCACATTCACCTACGCTGCCATCTTGAACAGAAGCCTTTATCGCTTATTTCAAGGAATATTCCTAGAAATTTATAAATGTGAAATGACAACCTCTGTCATATCAACCATTTATTGAAGATTTTGAATCTTAAGCCTCTAAGACTAAATTGATTATTTCATGGCTAAGGTCAAGCTGTTTTGTTTTGTTTTGTTTTGTTTTGTTTTGTTTTGTTTTCATCGAACTCATGCTGCTTATTTGCAGGACAGAGCTCTTGTCTCTATTGGCCAGCTCTTCCTTTTGTTTCTGTTGTCTGCTCTTTCTAACACCAGGTCCTTATATTGAACCTTCGCTTTGGGGTATTTTCACAATTTTCTTAAGTAGGAAAATCTGGAGTTTCAAAAATATTAATCATTCAAAATTATTTATGAGATAAAGTAGTGGACTGTATTGGTTTGAGAATTGGAAATACTTATATGTTAAAACATTTATTAAGGACAAACTATAAATAAAGCCTTTCTAATTCTAATTTTTTTATATTTCAAAGAATTGTTCTGAGGATCAGCAAACGTTTTTTCTGTAAAAGCCCAGATAGCAAATATTTTAGGCAATTGTTCAACTCTGCAGCCGAAAAGGAGTCATAGAACAAATAGGCCTGGCAGTGTTCAATAGAACATTGTTTATGGACACTCCCACATAAATTTCTTATACATAGTATTAAATAGTCTTTTTATTTTTTTTCAACTGCTTAAAATGTAAAAACAGTTTTTAGTTCTTGGTCTATACAGAAACAAGCAACAGGCTGGGTTTGGCTCATAAGCCTTAATTTGCAGTGGATCCCTGCACTATGCAACGAACTGGGAAAGGAAACCTTCAGAAGCTTATTTTAAATACATGAAATAACATTATCAATATCTACAAGTGCTGTATGCTTTAAGATTATACAAAATGGAACTCCTTTAAAACACATCTTCCAAGACTTTCATAGAATAAATAATGCACTTTTTTCTTAATTGTTGAGAGTTTTTGTTTTTCTACTTTGCAATAGAGATGGACTTTGGAGAGGAATGGTGGTTAGGTCCATTAGCATGGCCCAATTAAAGTCCAGTGACTTTTCTCCTTTGGCAAACTCCCTAGAGAAGCCTCGTCAGGAGACCTCATTTTATTTATATTAGTGCTTCACATGCTATAATGATTCAATAAATGGTTGATATGACAGAGGTGTATTTTTTTTTAAAATAGGGCTTAAAAGCATCTTTTTAAAATGAGTATTATCTTAGGTATTTTTTGTGCATTCCTGTTCTATTTATTCACCGCTTTAATTGTAGCTGCTTGTCAGATCAAATAGAGATCACTAGAAAACCAAAGATGCTAAGTCACACTTTTTCATTTCCAGCCACAGAACCTGTTTGACACTTTGGCAGCTATCAAAGCATTTCACACTTTATTGAAAAGCCATAAAAATCATTCACAGGTCACTGAAGAGTTTTACCTAATTATATTGTATTTTATTTATTTATTTATTTATTTATTAAAATATATTTTATTGATTTTTTACATAGAGGAAGAGAGAGAGATAGAGAGTTAGAAACATCGATGAGAGAGAATCATCAATCAGCTGCCTCTTGAACACCCCCTACTGGGGATGTGCCCGCAACCAAGGTACATGCCCTGGACCGGAATCAAACCCGGGACCTTTCAGTCTGCAGGCTGATGCTCTATCCACTGAGCCAAACCGGTTTCGGCAAAATACCTGGAATTTTAAAACTGAAAAGAATACAGAATTTATAGTCCCAGCTCAGCAATGGAGTAACTCTGCCTCTCTGGGACTCAGTTTTCTAATTTTTAATCAAGAAAATTATTATCTCGTTATTGCCTCCAAAATATTATGATGCTAAGGGCCATATTAATCATTTAGGCAATGGCTCAACCTCCCCATACCATGAGCACACCAGCACCTCTCCCCTCCTCTGTTCTTTCCCCCACTCAGGCATATACCTTCTAAACTCATAAGGAACCCCATGAGGCATAAGGGACCACATGAGGCTTGCAAACAAGATAGCAATGGGCAGTGGTAGTTCATCTCAGGGAAACCCCCCTGAGCCTCTCTCCAAGGTCCCCTTTTCTCTGACTTTTTTTTTTTTTTTTAAATAAATCTTCATTGTTCAGATTATTACAGTTGTTCCTTCCCCCCCCCCCCCCCCCCATAGCTCCCCTCTACGCGGTTCCCACCCCACCCACTGCCCTTACCTCCCCCACCCCATCCATAGGTGTATGATTTTTGTCCAGGCTCTTCCTGTACCCCTTTCCCCCTGAGAATTGCCAGACCGCTCCCTTTCTATGCCACTGATTCTATTTATATTCACCAGTTTATTCTGTTCATCAGATTTTTTATTCACTTGATTTTTATTTTTTATTTTTAATTTTTTTTTTAATATATTTTATTGATTTTGCACAGAGAGGAAGGGAGAGAGATAGAGAGTTAGAAACATCTATGAGAGAGAGTCATTAATCAGCTGCCTCTTGCACACCCCCTACTGGGGATATGCCCACAACCAAGGTACATGCCCTTGACCGGAATCGAACCCGGGACCCTGCAGTCCCCAAGCCGACTCTCTATCCATTGAGCCAAACCGGTCCCGGCTCACTTGATTTTTAGATTCACTTGTTGATAGATATGTATTTGTTGTTCATAATTTCTTATCTTTACCTTTTTCTTCTTCTTCCTCTTCTTAAAGAATACCTTTCAGTATTTCATATAATTCTGGTTTGCGGTGATGAACTCCTTTAGCTTTTTTTTTTTTTTTTTTTTTTAATCTATGAAGCTCTTTATAAATGTCCTCTAAAACTCACCTGGACTTGTATTGTGAAATCTTACCTACACAAAGTCAAGAACCCACACCCAGGTCCACTTTCTGTTAATAGTAGTAAGGTTTGAGTAGGTATGGTTTCACTTTTAAGTATTTAGAGAAGGCTATTCAAAATGTGGCCCTCAGACTTGTAGCATCAGTAACTACCGGGAGCTTGTTATAAATATAATCCACCAGACTTCCAGATTCCAAGTCAGAATCTCTAGGAGGTAGACTCCAGGGATGTTTTAAGCAAGTTCTCTGTGTTATTTATTTATTTGCACATTACAGTTCTATAAAGCACTATTCTAGGTCTCAAACATATAGATTGAAATATTTTGTGGAAGGAATGATAAAACAGATCCTGTAAAATGAAGATAGAGTCCATACAAGGAGAATAAACGAAATGCCAAGGTCAAGAATTTGGGATTTATTTATAGAAAATTGAGTCGCTGAAAATTTTTGATTGGTGAAGTGCTATTATAAAAGAAGATACATTAAGATTAGCTTAATGGTTGTAATGTAGGACAGATTTGAATGGAGTAATTATAAAGCAGCGTTTCTTAAGGTCTTGCTATACACAGAATGATCCTGAAACTGGTGTTCTGTTATCAATCATTAGAGGCCCGGGTCACAAAATTCATGCACAGGGGGAGGGGTGTCCCTCAGCCCAGCCTGCACCCTCTCCAATCTGGGACCTCTCAGGGGCAGTCATACATCCCTCTCACAATCCAGGACTGCTGGCTCCCAACTGCTTGCCTGCCTGCCTTCCTTATTGCTCTTAACCTCTTCTGCCTGCCAGCCTGATCACCCCTAACCACACCCCTGCCAGCATGATTGATGCCTAACTGCTCCCCTGCCAGCCTGGTCACCCCTAACTGCCCTCCCCTGCAGGCCTGGTCACCCATAACTGCCCTCTCCTACAGGCCAGGTTCTCCCAATTGCTCTACTCTGCAGGCCTGGGTCCCCCCCAATTGCCCTTCCCTGCAGGCTCAGTCACCCCCAAGTTTCCTCCTCTGCCAGCCTGGTCACCTCTAACTGCCCTCCCCTGCAGGTCTGGGTCCCCCCCAACTGCCCTTCCCTGCAGGCTTGGTCGCCCCCAACTGCCCTCCCTTGCAAGCCTGGTCCCTCCCAACTGCCCTCCCCTCCTGGCCATCTTGTGATGGCCATCTTGTGTCCACATGGGGGCAGGATCTTTGACCACATGGGGGCAGCCATCTTGTATTTTGGAGTGATGGTCAATCTGCATATTATTCTTTTATTAGATAGGATAGAGGTCTTGTGCATGGGTGGAGGCCAGCTGGTTTACCCTGAAGGTTGTCCCAAATCAGGGTGGGGGCTCCCTAGGGAATGGGGTGGCCTGGAGACCTGTGATGGTTTTCAGGCTGGCCACGCTCCCCGGTGACCCAAGTGGAGACCCTGGTATTGGGTTTATTTACCTTCTATAATTGAAACTTTGTAGCCTGGAGCGGAGCCAAGCCTCCTGCTCGCTCCTTGGCTGCCGCCATTTCTGTTGGAATTTATGTATCTTCTATAATTGAAACTTTGTAGCCTTAAGTAGAGGCCTGGGCCCGCCAGGGTGTGTGGAAAGTTTGGCTTCCTCCATTGCCAAGTGGCGATAGCCATCTTGGTTAGGGTTAATTTGCATATTTGCTCTGATTGGCTGGTGGGTGTGGCTGGTGGGAATAGCAGAGTGGTGGATAATTTGCATATTACTCCTGTATTATATAAGATTTGGAAACTTGCTGGAAATGCAGAATCTCATGCCTCACCGTTAACTAACTTTGCTTGGCAAAAAGCTGCTCCTGTTACCTCGCCCTCAGGCCAGACAATTCAGTTCCTTCCCATATGTCCCTGGTACCTTTCAAGCTGCTACCCTAGGGAGTGAGTCCAAGTTCATGCATGGGCCCTTTAAGAGGACTGCCCAGACTCCAGCAGCCTGAGCCTCAATCCCTACTGGTTTTTACAGCCAGAAGTTCTGGGGATTTCTCTTTCTGGCACAGGAACCCTGGGCTAGGGGGCTTGGTGTGATACTGGGACACCTCACTCCTCAGAGGAAACCTCCATAAATGAGATATTCCTCCCAATTTTTATGTGCCCCATATGGGTGTAGGACCAGCCTGTGCCTCCTACCAGTCTGGATGTGACTACTTCTTTACATCCTTAGTTGTTCCACTAGATTTCAGGCTATTCTCAATGATAATTGTTCAGTTGTAATTTTGATATGGTTGTGAAAGGATATGTGTACCACATTCACCTATGCTGCCATTTTGACTGGAAGCCTTTATCACTTATTTTGAGGAATACTGAAAACTGTTTTGCGCATCCTAATTTCATTTCAGTGTTTGACTGAATAACAAATGATACAAATGAAAATTTTTGTCCCCTATGTCAGGACATCCAGGTATTTGTGGCTAAAGTAACTGGTATCCTTCTTGTTTAAGAATGATTCCTAGAAATTTATAAAAGGGAAAGCATTCAATAACTATAAATTGTTTTACTGATAAGTAAAACTTTATTTTTGAATTGGGCAGAATGCTTATGAATTTCTTTTTTAGCTCTGGCCGGGTAGCTCAGTTGATTAGAGTATTGTTTCCATACACCAATGTCGCAGGTTTGATCCCCTGTCAGGGCACATACAAGAATCAATCAATGAATGGATAAATAGTGGAACAACAAATCGATATTTCTCTCTCTTTCTCTGAAAATTAATTTTCAAAATGACTTTATTTTTAAAGTATAAGAAATTTGTGTTGTTGTAGCTTTTATTTTTAACCAAAGGAAATCATCTTAATACCAATAAATAAGAATTGCCAATCTTAAAATCAGAAGCAACTAATATCTAAATAACTTTTATTGTCATTTCAGGAACATAATATTGCATTTTTTGTTGTGTTTCCTTTATTAAAGATTTTATATTTTTAACATAAAAATAACTTATTTAAATATATTGTTGCAAATTTTTGAAAAAAACCCTCTTTTTTAGCTTTTAGTAAAACATGGAGGAGACTTGTTTGCTGAGAATGAAAATAAAGATACTCCTTGTGATTGTGCTGAAAAGCAACACCACAAAGATTTGGCTCTTAATCTGGAATCCCAAATGGTATTCTCACGAGATCCTGAAGCTGAAGAAATAGAAGCTGAGTATGCTGCATTAGACAAACGAGAGGTAAGGTGTGTTTTTCTAATTAAAAAGTTATATGGATTTTAAATTAAAAACTTTTTTCTTGTTTAAAACCCAGTTTGTGTGGTCTTTTTTGCAATGGTAAATATCCAGTCATCTACATAGCCATAAGTATAAAAATACAGTTAGAAACCTGGAGGTCTAAACTTTCCTCTAACATACATGAATGTACATAAAAAGAGAAGCTGGCCTAACCTGTTTGGCTCAATGGATAGAGCATTGGCCTGTGGACTAAAGGTTCCAGTCAAAGGCATGTACCATGCTTGCGGGCACATCCCCAGTGGGGGGCATGCAGGAGACAGCTGATCTATGTTTTTCTCTCATTGATGTTTCTAACTCTCCCTTCCTCTCTGTAAAAAATCAATTATATATATATTTAAAAAAAAAAAAAAAAAAAAAAGCTGATGTGTGGTATGAATCCTAACCGCTCCTACTAATCCAAGACTCCAATCCTCCTATTCCTCGGTCTCTCTCTGTCTTCTGGATTGTTCTTGTCAACAAACATGCTTTGGTAAATCCTATTGTCAAAAGCAAAAACAGCTAAACAGTCTTTCCATTGATCACTCTTCCCCAGCCCTGTCCCTGTCCCCTGCAGTTGTAGACCATGTCTCCCATCTTTATATGGGAAAAACCAACTTAATTGTTGTCCCTTCCTACCAAATTCCTCTTTCTTCCCTTCTGTGATGTAATTGAACTTATTATCATGGACATCAAGAGTCATTTAAGTCTTTCTTATCTGAATAAATATTACTGAGTTGTTCTAGCATAAACATCCAAACAATCTGGGAATCCTGTCAGTTTTATCTTGAAAACTATAACCTAAATCAATTTTACTCCTCCCATTCTCCACTCCTTCTTCCCTAGGCACTTGCCACCCTCATTTCTCATATGGGCTAATGTAATAGTTTTTCCTTACTGGTCTCCTTTCTATTCTGGTTTCCTTAGAATCTATCTTGTACACAGAAGCCGGAGTGACAGTTTTAAATTAAAACAAGGTTATATCACTTAAATCACTAAGTAACTTTTTATGGAACTTAAAATCCAAACTATTTACTCAGATATAATACCTTTTATGGTGTGGCTACTACCTACCTCTTCAGTGTTATCTCAAACATTTTTTCTTAACTCCCTTTGCTCTAATTACTATACCTAGACTACCAAGACTTTGCATTTGCTATTTTTTTTTTGTCTGAAATCTCCCAGTTTTTCTCTTGACTAACTCAATATCACTTTTTCAGATAGGCAGTCTTTAATCATTCTTTCTAAAATAGGTCCATCTCCTTCCATTATTCTTTGTTATAATATCCTGTCCATCCTTCTTAGCATTTATCATGTGCTGTAATTATTTTTTATATGTTTGTTTACTTCCTTTCTCTCTTATTAGATTGTCAACTCCACAAAGACCAGGGTCTTAACTGCCTTACTTAACAGTGTATACTCAGTGTCTAATCCACTGGTGCACAGTGGGCACCAATAGATATTTCTTAAATAGAAAAACTATATAAGACTCAATAAATTTTTCCTCCTCAAATGATCCTGATTTTAAGTTCAGTGCTAACTTGATTCTAAAAGAAATTTTATTACTCTTCTTTGTGTTTAATTGTATTGTTACTTTTCTTTTTCCCATGACTTCCCAGCAGTTTGGGGGCAGCTGTACTTTCCAAATCGGCAAAAGAACTGAGTTTCTTAGAATTAAAAGATTTCTGTTTCTTTACCTTTTGTGATTCTTTAGTTAGATTGTTTAATATTTATTCAGATTAAGTATACATAGAGAGAAGGCTGATGTCCTAAGCACTTTAATGTGGTTGTTGAATTCACATAGTAACCTTGAAATGACAATTAAGACCCCTTCTTTTTTTTAAATAAGGAAGATAAACCAGAAAATAATTGAATAACTAATCTGGACCAAAGGGAGCTGAACCTGGTTCTTATGATTTAAAAATCTAAGAATCTCTATTTGCTATGCTGGCTACCTTTTGACAGCCCATACATAGAAATTATAATGAAATAATTGATAAAATAATTCAGTCAAGACATTTAAACAATAATATTCTATTAATAGAAATAATGTTGATGTGAGTAAACTGAAAGACATTTAGGTCTTTTCATCAAGATGTCTTAATTTATTAGTAAATTTTAAAAACAGTGGTACTCATCAATAGATTTAATATAGTATATTAACTATATTAAACTATTGTATAACTATAATAAATTATTATGTTAAGGCAAAAAAATATTTACAGAACAATTTGACACTAATTATATAGGAAAAAACTGTATATTTGAAGAAGTTGGCTGTATACCAAAATAGTATTGTGGATATGAGTGATTTTCTTTACTATTACTATTTTTCTATATTTATGCATTAAAATTTTCACCAATAGGTAAGAAATATGTCGATCATATATTCTGACTTGGCAAAGATGTTCATGACATTCCATTAACCTGAAAAAATATTTTAGCTGAACTATTTTTTCAGGTTAATGGAATGTCATGAACATCTTTGCCAAGTCAGAATATATGATCGACATATTTCTTACCTATTGGTGAAAATTTTAATAATTTTATAGACTTTGCTAGTTTTGTACTTTTATTTTTAACCTGTATTAGATTTTTTTAAATTGATTTCAGAGAGAAAGGAAGAGAGAGAAGGAGATAGAAACATCAATCATGAGTGAGTCATCCATTGGCTGCCTCCTGCATGTCCCCTACTGGGGATCAAGCCCGCATTCCAGGCATGTGCTCTGACTAGGAATTGAACCATGACCTTCTGGTTCATGGGTCTAGGCTCAGCCACTGAGCTAAACCAGCCAATAATGGCTTTATTTTTGTCTACTATTTCATTATTTTAAAAGCACTACTTTCACAAATAAATACTTATATACAAATATTTAAAGCAGCACTACTCACAATAGCCAAAACTTGAAGACAGCCAAAATGTCTATCAACACATAAATGGGTAAATAAAATGATATATAATATATAAGCAATGGAATACTACTCAGCCATAAAAAGAACTGAAGTACTAACATATACTAAAAATATGATCAATCTCAAAAACATTATGCTAAGTGAAAAAAGTCAGGCACAAAACGGCACATATTGAGTAACTCCATGTATATGAAATGTCCAGAGTAAATAAATCCATAGAAATGAAAAGTACATTAGTGATTGCCAGGGGCTGGGAGGAAGAAGGAATGTGACTACTTTATGGGTATGGGGTTTCTTTTGGGGTGATGAGAATGTTTTGGAACTAGATACAGGTGGTGGTTGTACAACATTGTGAATGTACTAGAGGCCACTGAACCGTACACTTTAAAATGGTTAATTTTAAGTTATGTGAATTTCATAACAGTTTTTAAAAAGAATGTTTGGTGTTTGTTTTTTTATTTGAATGTAAACAATGCTTTTTTAAAATTCATTTTTGTATCTTCTTTGACCCTGATCAATTTTTGGATTATTCTGTCTATGCTAGATTTTATATGGCCTGCTATGTAATTGTATTAAGTTACATAATCAGGACTTTTTAAAATTTATGTTCCCAAGGTTCGGTATTTATTTTAGCTAAGGCTTCTTTCTATTCAGTTAATGATCTGGAGTGTGTATAATATTATATCTCTGTAATTTCTTATTGACACATTTTAGTTGAGCTCTTTCCTCTGAATGATTAGTTTATAAATGTAAAATCTACTTCATTCATTCATTCTACAAAACTGAGTAACTGCTCTGCCAGACAGTGTTTTAGGAGCTTAGAGATTCAGTGAGGAACAAAGATAAACTCCTGCCTTTTATGGGCTTATGTTTCATCATGAATAGAGAGACACTCACAAATAAGTTTAAAAATAAATGAACATGATTTCTGAGAATGGTAACTGCCATAAAAAAATAAAAACAAGATGATGTATTAGAGTGATGGCTGAGAGCAGTGTGTTCGATTTATTGGAGTCCCAAGAAAGAGCAGAGAAACTAGTAAGTAATGGGCCTCATAGAGGACAGGCTGTAGGAGTGGAGTGTGTGTTTGTACCTGGGTAAATGAAGGGGAAACTGAACATTGCACTGCTATGAAAGTCATCTAAAGATTCCCACCTTCCAATCTGTAATTCAGGAAGGTTCCAGGCTCTTTTTCTGGTAGGAAATTTATATGCTGGACTTTGCCTTATTTAGCTACCCCAGTTAGCATAAGGCTTAATGTACTCCATGTGCCTTCCTCTTAGTCAAAGTACACATCAGGGTAGCGTAGGTCTTGATAGCCAGATGAGAACAGCTGAGTAAGTAGCATGGAAACTAAAATGAAGGGAAGAGTCTCAGAATCCTAAAGGCATTCTCTAGCCATTTGTTTCCCTCTCTTCCAGGCTAAGCTCATAGATCATTAAGGAGAGATTGGTATTAAAATGAATTGGAAATATCCTCTCCTTTCCCTGAGTGTCTTAAAATTTTAACTGTTACATTATATTTGGGTAAAGAAGTACTCATTTTTTCATTTTTTAACAATGAACATGTTTTACCTATATAATTGGAGGGAGGGGACAGCTATTTTCATTGTGAGAAAAAAGAAATACTTCTTTCATAACTCCTTTGTCATGGTCTTTTCTGAAACAACTAGGGGCCCGGTGAATGAAATTCATGCTCTGGGGCGTGGTCCCTCAGCCCAGCCTGCCCCCTCTCACATACTGGGAGTCTTCAGGGGATGTCCTATGGATGGCTTAAGCCCACTCCCCATTGGGAGCAGACCTAAGCCACAGTGTGGCCTCCATTTGCGTGAGGTGACCGGGCTGAGAATGTTTTTAACAGTTTTTAAAAACCAAACATTGTTTTTAAAAACTGTTATGAAACTCACATAACTTAAAATTAACCATTTTAAAATGTACGGTTCAGTGGCCTCTAGTATATTCACAATGTTGTACAACCACCACCTGTATCTAGTTCAAAAGCATTCTTATCACCAGCCCCATCACCCCACTGCTGCAGCCACTGCCAGTCACCAC